ATAAATAACCGTTCACAGATATTTGTTATTGTCATAGTCATATTCGATTTTTATTAGTTTCTTCTTATGTCAATAGTTTTAGATTCTATACTTGTTCTCATATGCAGATACAATGTGCAGGCGAGGCTTTCTACACTGAAGACTTGCCTAAATATCCTGATGAAGTGTTCTGTGCCTTTGCTCTGACTACAGTTGCGCTCGGTGACATTGTTTCTATTGATGCCAGTAAAGCATTGGTAAGATTTTAATACCTTGTCGTGTGTTTGACGATAATATGTATGTATATGTACTCAGATAAAAAAAACTCTTTAGGCATTCCCTGGAGTAATAGCTGTCTACACTGCGGATGACATACCAGGAATAAACTCATTTACTCCACCTGACTCATTTTTGTATTCAGCTAACGAAGAAGTATTAGCCAAGGGTACGGTCAAATACTATAATCAACCGATGGCCATAGTGGTAGGTGAGACTCGTTACATCGCTGACAGAGCTGCTAAATTAGTAACTGCCACTTATGCCAATGTCAAAGAACCATTACTAGACGTGAAGCAGACTATAAATAACACTAGTAGAAGTACAAAATATACAAATGTAGCTTCAACAGACACTGGCACAGATGTGGTAGAAGTAATCAAAGGATTTAATGAGATACATGCCCAATACCATTACGTCATGGAAACTGTTACCACTGTTGTGAAACCATCCGATGAAGGGCTGGATGTATACTGTTCCACACAGTGGATGGAAGGTGTGCAATTGATGATATCGAGAGCTTTGAATTTGAGTCAAAACCAGTACGTACGATTATGTTTTTTAGTTTAATGTATTAAATAAAATAATAAAGAAAGAAGTATTTAAATTGTAAGTCTTCTTTGATTATTAGGGTTGATGTGCACACCCGTCGTTGTGGAGGAGCATATGGGTTGAAACTATCTCGTAGTACTCAAGGAGCTATAGCTGCCGCTCTCACAGTAATGAAATTAAATAGACCATGTCGATTCATTCAGTCGTTGACTACTAACACGAGAGCCTTGGGGAAGAGACTGCCAGCCTGTTCCGATTTTGAGGTAAGTTTACCTTGTATATGTGGTAAAAATTGAACATAAGGTAATTTGAAAGTATAACAATAATAAATATGTTCTGATTCTATTAGGCGGGTGTAAACAGCTCTGGAGCCATACAATACATTAAGTACAAAGTTTATGAAGACAATGGATATAAGACAAATGAACAATTTACTCAACTTGGTGTGGGTCAATTTAATAATGCCTACAATAGGGCGCGTTGGGATTATACGAGCTTTGATTCTATTACTGATACCGCTAAGAATACATGGGCAAGAGCACCAGGTCAGTGTTTAAATAAGTATTTTTTTGGCATAAAAATAATTTTACAATAATTGTTATTTTCAATTTAAAGGGACTTTGGAACATGTTGCAATGGCCGAACTGGTGATGGAACAAATAGCTTACGAAATGAATCTTGATCCTTTAGATGTCAGGCTAGCTAATTTAGATGCGCAATACTCAAATGATATCAAAGAAATGGTTGATTATATCATGATACAAGCCGATTATCCCAAAAGACGTGAAGCAGTCAATAAATTCAACACTGAAAACCGATGGAAGAAACGGGGTCTAAGGTTTGCTCTTTTGCGATGGACACCAGTTGGAGGCATTAACCTTTATATTAATTTATCAGTGTATCGTGGAGATGGTTCCGTAGTTATAACACATGGAGCTATAGAAATGGGACAAGGAATCAATACAAAGGCGATTCAAATTGCAGCTTACCTGCTAAATATTCCTATTGAAAAAATTATAGTGAAGGAGAACAATACCGTAATAGCACCAAACTGTGCCTTATCTGGAGGAAGTATTATGAATCAGAATGTTATATTGGGAGTAAAACGAGCATGCCAGCAACTTCTCGAGAGATTAAAACCAGTGAGAGATACCATGGATAATCCTACATGGGAAGAGCTGATAACAGAAGCGTATAACAGTAATGTCGATTTGCAAGCTCACGGATTTACAAGGACTGATGAGGAGTATCCTTTCCCGGTTTACGGAGTGACGTTAGCTGAAGTAGAAGTAGATATTTTAACTGGACAGTCTGAGTTATTGAGAGTAGATCTCTACGAAGATGCTGGGCAAAGTATCAGTCCTGAAATTGATATTGGTCAAGTGAGTTCGTACTTTTTCAGATATGAAAATTTGTACTTTTTAAATTTTATTAATTTGTTATTCTGTTAATATTTTAGGTGGAAGGTGCTTTCATGATGGGTGTAGGGTACTGGACTAGTGAGAAACTAATTTATTCTTCGACTGGAGAACTCCTTACAGACAGGTCGTGGAACTATTATGTACCGCTGTCTAGAGACATACCGCGAGATTGGAGAGTCTACTTTAGGAAGAATTCTTATAGTGCAGATACTGTTTTCGGGTCAAAGTGTAAGTAAATGATTTAATGGAATTTCATAACATTTACAAATAATCTTGTGGAAGTATTAATTTTTGCGTATAGTTTTTATTTGGGTAGGTATCTACCATTGCATAATTTAATTAATAATACTTGCTAGGCCTGATATTGCTCAGAAGTCCCTTAATTATTGCATTTTTTGAAATTTATTTCGGACATTAGCATCGCGATTGTGTACAAATGGTAATTGGCTGGCCATTGTCTACGAGAGCTTTGGGAATTTATGTCCTTGGGTAACTCTTATCATTGCTTCCATTACGCAACTGTAACTGTTCTTAATTTATAATGGTGCTACATTTGAATTTTATTTTAATCTCCTCTTTGTTTATATTATTTCATTGGCTGTGTTGTTGGCATCAAATGAATTGACTATCTTAAATAATTATATTTCTGATATAATGAGTGTTTGATTCACTTATGGCCGTTTTCATCCACAACCCTTTAACCATCTCTTAACTAAAAGTTTCTTCCCCAATCCCTGAATCCTCAACAATCCTAATTCCTAATCCCCAAAAAGCCGATGACAATGGGCAATGAATGATAAGCAATGGGCGACGCCGATAGCTTACCATCATGTGATCCGTCTACTCGTTTACCGGCTTATGCCATAAAAAAACCAAAATGTTTATCTCATAAAGAAAATCTTAGCTTGACGTAGCACTGAAACTTACAGGTTGATGAAAATGAAAATGACGTTAAATGTCACCTACCATAGCTAAAGGGTTTCTTAAAATTTAGGAGAATTTGGTGGAAACGGCCATTAGGTATATTTATATTCATCAAAGCACGTTAACTCGTCGAGTACCGGTTTTGTAGACACAATTATAGAACAATAGGTTGCGGTCACCGGTGACCGCTTGGTGTTTGACAGTTTAAAGTCAAAATAAATAATGTTTGTACAGGTATTGGCGAGCCTCCAATATGTATGGCAGTAGTAGTGGCTTTGGCTATACGGGAAGCTATCGTCGCAGCCAGATTGGAAGCAGGCATTCCGACCACACAGTGGTTCCAAGAACGTGAGTAATTCATGTCACAATATTAGGTCGCTCTGATAAAGGAGTTAGTTTTGATTTAGGAAATCGAGATGATATCTTAAAAGTCGAAGTACGTACTTACATTGTATTGTACGAAGTGATATCTAAATAAAACCTAATTATGGAGAACGGTATTCAATGTAATATAATTATTACTAGCTGTTACCCGCGACTTCGTTCGCGTGAAATTATTCATATTTCTTGTTAATTTATACTTTTTTGACGCGACAACGTGTTGATTGGCGAGGCGTACTTGAAAGCTAGTATGAAAGAGAACGTTTATTGTCTACTCAAGATGGCGACTGTGGTTTGTCTGTCAGAGTCATTAAAATGAATTAATAAAATGAAATAATCCGAATTTTGTGGATATAAGTTTTCGAATCGTAATCGATATTTTTTTATGTTTTGTCATTCAAGTAATGTTTCGACCGAGCCTACCGTACCCCTTGACGAAATTATTAATATAGATTGGTTCGAATTATTATTTATTATTATGTACATAGCTATACGTTTCATTCTTTTGTTTTACAGAGGGACCCTACACAGTCGAACGAAACTTGCTGTTGTCGTCCACTAATATTGCTGATTTTAAGTTTAATTGAACAATATTTATATTTGCATTTAACTGTTGGTATAATATTTTATGAATAAAATTAAGTAATATTGTATCAAATAATGTGATGTTTTATTTTGCCCTTCTTGTAGTTCGAATGAAAGAGAAAGTTAACCTATTGACCTAAACATTCTATTTTACTAGCTGTTGCCCGCGACTTCGTCCACGTAGGTATGACCTATTTATCCCATTATCATCATCATCATCATCATCATCATCATCAACATCATCATCATCATCATCACCCTGTAAATGCCCACTGCTGAGCAAAGCCTCTTCTCACACGGAGAAGGTGTGAGCATTAATCACCACGCTTGCTCAATGCGGGTTGGCGATTTCAAACTTATAGGTAATTAGAAATTATTATAAGCACAGGTTTCCTCACGATATTATCCCTAACCGTGTGTTAGTGGTGTCTAGATAATCTTAGGAAGTACATGTAAGTCGAAAAAATCACATTAGTACTTGACGTTGGTAGGTTTTGACGTCGCACCCTCATGCATGAGAAGCGGGCGCCTTAAAGCTCCGGGCCACCAGCACCACGACATATGTTTTATCCCATGGGAGTATTTAATCGGGATAAAAAGTATCCTATCATCTAAGTCAGCCTATACACTGCCTGTGTACCAAATTCCGTGAAATCCGTTCAGTGGTTTCAGCGTGATAACATACACACGGACACGTGAAAAATACAAACACCCAAACACAATTATAATATTATTGTGATATTGTCCTAATTGACGTAATGTAATGAAAATAAAATTTAATGTCTCATTTATAGACATCGATTGCATATCTAGTTGGCACTAGAAATGCAGAATCCATTAATTATATTGAGGGACTATCAATTATATTGGTATTGTTTGGAACGATTTTGTTGGAGCAGGTTGACAGACAGCCATGGGGAAGATAACATTTAAAATCAATGGATTGCAGTATTCAGGTAGATTATTTTTTAAATGTACAATCACCTAAATTTGTAAACTTTATGACATGTGGCAAATTATTGTATGTGATCCATTTGATACATTATTGAGCTGATCCGAATCCTAAGAATGGTTATGTGGTTTTATTATTCAAATCTTCTTCATGTAATCCTGTAATACCGACATACACCAGTGGGATGCGAGGTGAGCTCGGACGTGACGCTGCTGGACTACCTGCGGCTGTACGCAGGGCTGCGTGGCACCAAGTACATGTGTCGCGAGGGTGGCTGCGGAGCATGCATCGTCAGCGTACACCAACCTGCTGGAACAACTTATGCCGTCAACTCGGTCAGTTAATGTGAACCTTATTTCCTTTTGAACGTAGTAGCCATGCTAACTGTAACAGATTTTGGTAACTTTCTTAGTTTTTTTTCTAAATTATCTTAATTTTTAAATAGTTAACAATTTCCGTTTCATTAGACGGATGGACAATTATTAATTCAGTCATACATAATCATTCTGACAGTGCATGAAACCCGTGACATCATGCCATGGACTGGAGATCACCACCATCGAGGGTTTGGGTAACAGACTAAAAGGCTACCATGAACTGCAGACGACATTGGCAAACGATCATGGTTCTCAATGTGGATACTGCTCTCCGGCTTGGGTTATGTCGATGAACAGGTAAGAAAATAGGATCAAAATCAATAAGCAAATATAATATAGGAAAACATCTGTAAATTACAAATAACAAACTTGCGTTTTACATGCAGCTTGCTTCAATCCAATCCTGACATCACAATGTTGGAAATAGAGAAATCATTATCCAGCAACGTTTGCCGTTGTACTGGTTATAGACCTATTCTGGAAGCATTTAGGAAATTCGCCTCTGATGCTCCAAGACAAATTAAGCTACCAGACATAGAAGATCTCAAAATTTGTAACAAAACTGGAGAAAAATGTGATAAAAGCAATTGTGAGGATAGTGAGTGGTGCTTTGTAGAACAACAAGTTGACAAAGATGATATTATTGAGATAAAATTAAAAGATAAAAGGCTTTGGTATCGAGTAAACAAAGTCAAAGATATATTCACAATACTTGGAAAAAAAGGTGACGAGTCCTACATGCTGGTAGCTGGGAATACTGCAAGAGGTTTGTCTAATGGAGATTTTCATGAGACACACGAGTTCTTTAATAACACTTTCGAACTACATACGTATATACAATATTTTTATTGCAGGAGTATATCCCATAGATGAGTTCCCTCAGGTCCTTATAGACATAAGTGGAGTCCAGGAACTGAAAGGGTACTCACTCGATCAGAACTTGATTGTGAACGCTGGTACCACGCTTACGGAGTTCTTGCAGATACTAAAAACTGTAGCTAAAGAAGAATACTTTGGATATCTGCAGACGATATATAATCATATTGAGAAAGTTGCACATGTTGCTGTGAGAAATGTAAGTTTTAATGGTATTTAAAATCAAATTAGAGGTGAAATAAAATTAGTACCACCACTAAATATAATGATGATGACTGTATTTGCAGGTGGCATCGATAGCAGGGAACTTGATGATTAAGAATCAGCACAACTGGTTCGCTTCGGATATCTACTTACTATTAGAAACAATTGGAGCACAAGTTACAATACGTTAGTATTCCATAATTATTAATATACTTTGTTGTAATATGTGCCCAAATATAAAATTTAAATTACTTTTAGAGAAGAATATGAACGCGAAGCAGACGCTGACGATGCAGCAGTTTCTGAAGGTTAATATGAGGGGATATGTCATTTGGAACATCATGATGCCACCTTTGTGTAACAGCAAACATCTAGTTATGTTTAAGGTAAACATAAAATACTAGATAGATACGTAATATGCTTATTCAGTAAAGTTACTTTGTTTAAACTCAAAATAAATAAAAGACTGATGTGTTATTGTTCTTGCAGGTTATGCCTCGCTCGCAGAACTCACATGCTTATGTAAATGCGGGTTTTTTGTATAATTTATCAACTGATAATGTAGTGAAATGTGCAAGAATGGTATTCGGAGCTCTCTCTCCTACAAATGCTAAGTCTAATTTCAGTCGCGCCAGTGCCACCGAAAAATTTTTGGTCGGAAAGAAGCTTTTTACCAATGAAACACTCACATCAGCAATAAAAATATTGGAACAAGAGTTGGTGGTTGAATATAATCCACCAGATCCTTCAGTCGAGTATAAAAAGAACGTTGCTATAGGTTTATTTTACAAAGTAAGAATTTTCATTTTAAAATAGTGAAAAAGTGTAGTTTTACTTTTTGAAAAATGAATAAAAAATTAGTTTTTCTTCAGAGTCTACTAACACTTTCTCCGGAAACAAATCTTAATACCCGATACAAATCTGGAGCTATCAATTTGCACGATACACGCCCAGTGTCTAAGGCTACTCAGATATTTGAAACTAACCGATCAGTGTGGCCGGTGACACAACCTATTGCGAAAGTAGAAGCTTTGGTAAGTGAACTTTGTAGGATTCAGTGTGATAGCAGCACATTTTATAATGTAAGTTAAAAGTAATTTTATTTAATTTATTTTGGTAGATTCAATGTGCAGGAGAGGCTTTTTATACCGAAGACTGGCCCAACATACCGAATGAAGTTTTTTGTTCTCTAGCACTTAGCACAGTAGGCGTGGGTGATATCGTATCCATCGATGCAAGCGAAGCCTTGGTAAGAGATGAATAAGATAATGTAGTAAGAGTTGAAAATGAAATCTTGACTCATCAACTTTTTTACAGGCTTATCCTGGAGTGATAGCTTTCTACACCGCAAAAGACATTCCTGGAATCAATTCTTTTACACCAACAGATTCATTTTTATATTCAAAGTCTGAAGAAGTTTTAGCATCAACCTCAGTGAAGTATTTCAATCAGCCAATCGGTATAATAGTAGCTGAAACCCGTTACATTGCTGATAGAGCTGCTAAATTAGTGAAAGCAACATATACAAATGTTAGAGAGCCAGTCTTAGATGTAAGACAGACTATAGGTGATTCAAGTAGAAGTACTCTATTTACTCAAGTGGAAGCTACTGATAGAGGTACAGATGAAGTGAGAGTAATTAGAGGAGCTAATTCAATTTATTCTCAATACCATTTTACTATGGAAACACTGACAACGGTAGTTTTACCTTCTGACGATGGTCTTGATGTGTACTGTGCATCGCAATGGATGGAAGGAGCACAGTTGATGATTTCACGAGCTTTAAACATGCAGCAAAATAGGTAAGTTAACATTTAATATTTAATATAAAGTAACGAAAGTGTGGGAGAGCCATGCTTCGGCACGAATGGGCCGGCTCGACCAGAGTGATACCACGGCCTCACAGAAAACCGACGTGAAGCAACGCTCGCGTTGTGTTTCGTCGTGTGAGTGAGGTTACCGGAGGCCCAATTACCTTCCCGTTCCCCAATCTCCCCAATCCCTGAATCCCCAACGATCCTCAAACTCCTAATCCCCAAAGAGCCGGTGACGCACTTGTAACGCCTCTGGTGTTCCAGGTGTCTATGGCCGACGCCGATTGCTTACCATCAGGTGATCCGTCCGCTCGTTTACTGGCTTATGCCATAAAAAAAACCGAAAATGTTAAATTTAAAATGAAATTGTTGTATTTTTCTGGCAGCATTGATGTACATACTCGACGTATTGGTGGTGGCTACGGGCTTAAATTATCTCGTAGTATTCAAGGTGCCATTGCTGCAGCACTAACTGTGAAGAAACTCAACAGACCATGTCGATTCATCCAGTCGTTGACTACTAATATGAGAGCCGTAGGCAAGAGACTGCCTTGCTACTCAGACTTTGAGGTGACGATTTTTGTAAATTTCGATATAAAGAGAGAAACTAATAAAAATAATGAACCAAGTCAGTGACAAAGTTTTTGATGTCATAATCTCAATTTTTTTCGTCAAATTACATAAAGATGTCTCGGGGAGTAAATGGAAAGAATCAATTAATAAATTATCAAAATTTAAAACTTATGATTTCAGGCTGGCGTGAATAGTTCAGGAGAAATTCAATACATTAATTCTAGGGTATTTGAAGACAATGGATACGAAACAAACGAACTGCTGATTTTGCTTGGTGTTGGAGAATTTAACAACGCTTACAACAGGGCTCGCTGGAATTATACAAGTTATGATAATATAACGGATACGGCTAAAAATACATGGACGAGAGCACCAGGCAAGTTGAAATTTTATTAACAGACCACCAAAAGACAACCACCACTATATAACATTTTAATTTTTCTTTATAAAACGTCAGGTTTTATTTGCATTTCATGGTTTTGTCAGATATTGATGATGGTTGTAAGATGTATGTATTTTATGACTTGATAGGTACTTTGGAACATATAGCCATGGCTGAACTAGTGATGGAACAAATCTCTTATGAAATGAATCTAGATCCTTTAGATGTCAGGCTAGCCAACTTAGATGCCAAATACAGAAACGATATGAGAGAAATGGTGGACAACATTATTGTACGGTCCGATTATGTCAAAAGGCGAGAGCTTGTCAATCAATTCAATGCAGCAAACAGATGGAAAAAGAGAGGTTTAAGGTTCGCTTTTCTTCGTTGGACTCCAGTCGGAGGAGTAAACTTTTACATCAATTTGTCAGTTTTTCGAGGAGACGGTACTGTAGTTATAACCCATGGTGCTATTGAAATGGGACAAGGAATTAATACAAAAGCCGTCCAAGTTGCAGCTTATCTTCTGAACATTCCTGTTGAGAAAATTCTAGTTAAGGAAAACAATACTGTGATAGCTCCAAATTCATATTTATCTGGTGGCAGCGTTATGAATTATAATGTTATTGTTGGAGTGTCAAGAGCTTGCAAACAACTTTTAAATAGGTTGCAACCAATCAGAGATCAAATGGATAATCCTACGTGGGAAGACTTAATTACAAAAGCGTACAATGATAACGTGGACCTACAAGCTCATGGGTTTACGACTACGGACGAGGATTATCCATATGATGTTTATGGAGTAGCATTAGCAGAAGTGGAATTAGATGTGTTAACAGGAGAGTTTGAACTACTGAGAGTGGATCTCTGTGAAGATGTCGGGCAGAGTGTTAGTCCTGAAATCGACATTGGTCAAGTAAGTGTTTGCAGGTAAATATATGTATAATTTGAATACAGTTAGAAATTAATAAGTATACCACTTAATTCTTGTTCAGGTGGAAGGAGCATTCATAATGGGCATGGGTTATTGGACGAGTGAACACTTGGTCTACGCTCCAACAGGTGAACTCCTGACTAATCGTACTTGGAACTATCACGTACCACTAGCCAGGGATATTCCTCAAGATTGGAGAGTATACTTTAGGAAGAATTCCTACACGGAGGATATAATTTTTGGCACTAAGTGTAAGTTTAAAAGCCTTGTTATTCGTAGTACACAAAATTGAAATGAAAATAGATGTAAACAATATATAGCATTGTCTTTTCTGTTTAGGTATTGGAGAGCCACCAATGTGTATGGCTGTCGTTGTTGCATTTGCCTTGAGAGAAGCTATTGTAGCAGCTAGACTAGAGTCGGGGATTCCAACCACACAATGGTATCAAGAGGGTGTGTATGACACGTTATTTTTTAATTTTATTCGGTTTCTAGTTCTGAGATACTATATAACCTTTATTGTATCCTTTTTATAGATGGGCCCTACACTGTGGAAAGAAATCATTTATTAACATCGACAAATCCTGCAGACTTCAAATTTAATTAAATGATTAAAATCATAACCCTCCTTTTGGCTTTGCCGAAGTCGGATAAATTAAGCATAACTAATCTCATTTTCAATGTTTTGTATAATCCAAATATGTATTTTTTCTGTTTTATCATTTATGGTTTTAGGGACTTTTCGTTCGGTAACAATTCACTCCCGTTAAATATGTAATTTAGTCAATTAGTAAATGTTGTTTATATTATATGTTAATTACTTGATTGTTTAGTCACCAGTTAATGCATTATTGACATACCTACATTAGATTTTGCCGGAGATGAATTTGTTAGAATTTTATTTCATATAAATATATAGTTTTATTGTACTTTCAATTAGGACCTCGTTACGTTATTAAAGTCAAAGTCAAAATCATTTATTTCAATTAGACCAGGAAGGCACTTTTGAACGTAAAAACAAAATGTTTGAATATTAAATAGTAAGAAAAATTTCAGTCTGTAGGTCAGTCCTCTAGTGAAGCTATTTGCCCACTAGAGGTCATCACTTTAGTAACTCAATTGTAATATAGCTCTCTGTTTGAATGTTATTTTTAATGAACTTTATTTTACAGAATATTTTATATTATATTCACAGATGTTAACTCTGCATTGCTATAGACTATCTAACATGCAAATTCTATACAGAATCTTAATACTACTGATTGATTCCCTATAAGGTAAGCAGAAATGTACTTACAGCACAACTAGTTTAAACCGGAAAACTGTAGATGCTTTCATCAATTCTGAAACTGACAGGTAATTGAAACTGATACAATCAAGTATCTATCTATCTATAAAATAATGGATTGTCAGTTGAAATGTTGTAATTACATAATTTTGATAATTGTTTCTGAGAATGTACATATCTGGCTTAGTTTCTGTGTAAGATATGTTAATTATTAATTATTATAATGTGTGTCATGTTAATTAGTACCATGGTACAAATAATATTTGTTGCTTATTTGTGTGGTCTTGATTACCTTATATCGTTTACCTATTAAAATTGACTTCGGTATGATATAAAAAATACTATATTTAAGTAGGTACTGATTGTAATGGTCGACGGATATGTGCGCACGGGGCGTTTCGAGCAGGGAGGGCCGAATAACCGCCGATCGCAGCGTCCGCGGGCCACGTATGATCAAGCGGCTGAGTTACACTACTGTATCATATTTAGTTTTGATTATTTAAATGAATATTTTTTTATTATTTGTCCTGTATGGAGTACTGTTCTCATCTCATTCTCATGAACCGTCCCAACGGTTCGGCTAAATATCATTCTAGCCGAGAGGCCTGCCAAGAGGCTCATTAACGATAATGCCCATAAGGAGGTCCGGCTTCAAAGCCTCGAACACAGGCGTAAGGTTGCAAGCCTTTCGGTTTACCACCGAATACATTTCGGTGAGTGTGCGAGGGAATTGCACAACCCATTTTTTTCATTCCATCACCGTCGTACCACTAAACAATCGGCAAAGCGTCACTGATTCATGGTAGATGTCCTACCCATACGCACGAAGCGCTTTGCATCAAGCTTCCTTGTGTGTACTGCTAAGGCGTGGAATTCATTGCCAGAGCCTGTATTTCCTGGATGTCTTCAAGGCCCAAGTGAATAGGTTGCTTATGGGACAACGTTCTTCATCGTAGACCGTTCGCCTACCATCAGGTGAGATAGTGGTCAAACGCAACGCAAAAAACGAAAACAGGGTCAGTAAATCATAGGAAGCATTTAATGCATTCAGAGGGTAGATGAAACAACATAGGAAAATTCTAATCAGATTCAGAATCACTATACAATTTTTAGAATACACAAAGTTATTCACATTCATATGAAACCACAGATATGAAAAAAAAAAATATTATTAATCCCAATCATAAAAATGCGCGAAATATTCGATTCCATAACCAACACAGTATTGTGACCGACTTTATTATTTGATTTGAACGAAGACTAGTCTCAAGGTCGACTGGGATTGAAATTTATTTGATTTTCAGTCTCATTGTGAGCAAAACCTAAATGAATCGGGAGTTAGTCTCAGAGGCACGTGATCTTAATCCAATACTGGGACACCACCAAGTTATAGGTAGAAGCCTAACCATACTGTTATACAATGCTACGTGACAATTAGTTTTGTTACAGAAAAATATTTCTTGAGGGGGCATTAAATATGGCGCTCCTTCTTGATAATATTTAAAAAGGTAGCCTGTTATATTTTTAAACATTCTTCTGTTTAAATCTTCTTAACATGGAGTTTCTTGTTGGTTATTCTTCATTCGAAACTACGCTTCGGAATGAGCACTTAGCTTCACTGACAGACAGACGGACGTACAATTCAATTTGTACGTTTTAAAAGTGCCTAATAAGGAATAAATGAAATAACTGCTTTGACTTAGACTTTAATATAACAGTTTTCGAAACTCTTGTCTTTTTATCTTAAGTCTGAGGATATAATTCATATCTACTGCTGTACTTTACCATAACAACCAAAGATAAAGTTTACTAAACTGCAGTTTTCATTTCTTCTTATAATGTCAATTAGTTTCCTCATCGGGGGTGCAGTTTGGAGTTTGTTTACAAACAGACACAACCGTAATGGAACGATGAAACAGGAGTTAGTTTTATGTAAATTTCCAGGAGGGATCGCGTCAAAATGTCACTACAAGTGCCGGGTCAGTAGGACAATGGCACTTTACATTCACGGATCTTTTTGTGTTTCGCGGATTTAAGATAACAGTTGTTTTACGCGGCGTAGGATTTAAAGGATGGGTGTTACAATGAACGAGAGAGGCCTTACTGGCAAAAATTTTTTCTCAACCTAGAATAATATGACTTTCATTAAATTACCAGATACATTAATAGTATGGTTCTGTTTTGAGGTGAATAATGTGAAGTCTGCGTTTGCATACGCAACCAGGACATGAAAGAAAATTTATTGGGAATTTTATTAGCAAACTGGGTGCTGGACATTAGACAATATGCATGCAGCTATCGTAAAATGAAACCACCTATAAAGAGATAGTCCACGCAAGCCAAGAATACTAAATTAAAATGATCGCATAAAACAAACATCATCCTATTAAAGTTTTATACCTCACGTATTTGGCGGTGTTCTCAGACTACCTTTTTGTGGATAAAAGTAAAACTTTACTCACGTTTACACCCGACTTGCACGCGACTCTAGCATTTATATTGGTGTAATAAAAGCTCTTTTACTGTAAAAGCCACTTTACTTAGAAGTAGAAGGCGAATTAGACTTTATTTTAAAGATTGAGAGTTGACAATTGCGTCGTTATGAAGAGCGAGTAACGTTTAGAGCATTATAATGCGTCGTGTTAGCCGAGGAATCGTTTTAATTCAGTTGGTTAATCTGCTAAGAGATTTGATGATCGCACTTTTATTACTTTTCCTTTATCATCTCTTAATTATAGAGAAACGTTTATATACACCTCCGGGATATTCGTCAGATAATTGAAAATTAGTTCTGGGAAATAGGAAGCTGCTTTCATCTTCCAAATATAATGGCGATGCTTTCAATCTCACTTCAAACAACAATTTGTACGGTGGATTCGAAAGATGCTGTTCAAAAGATCATTTTATAGATTGTTCATTCTTTGAGACTTTTTTCTATATTTCTGTCTAAGTACTGCCTTGACACTGGGCGACTGTCTACTACTATTTTTAAACTAACTGCAACAACAGTCACTGACCTATTTACAAAAGATCATTTAATGCTTTTATGTCCCCATTTACCTTTATAATCCCAACGCTTGACTCCCATATGCACAAACACAGCTTCTGTTAATACTTAATGGGAAATTAACTGAATTCACTCGTCGCTGTAATGATGTGTGTTGTGTGCTTAACAGCCATTATCATCGAGTCTTAGCCATTCCATTGTAGGTTCATAATGTAATAAAAGTAGGCATAAAATTATATTGTTACTTACCTTTAACGTTGCACCGTTCTAGGATTTTCTCCTGTGTCGTGTGTGCGTTTACAAACATATAAATTCAGATACACATAACACCCAGACCAGAAACAACTATTTGTGGATCACACAAATGTGTCTTGCAGTTGTCAAGGACTATATTTGAATAATAAGTATAACAGGGTAACGAGTCATGGTAGTGCTATCTCATTAAAATTTTTATTTGTTCGTGATTTTGAAATTGCGTGCAAATTTTGATACGAGTTTTCTTGTTCCTTTTAAAAATGTACTTAAACGAGGAAAGAAAAAATATTTTGAATGTGTATAATGATGAATTTGGAAGAAAAGTCCTACTTTCACCGAAGACCTTGACAATAATGTTCAAAATAGAATTTAACAAGTTGTACCTTTTATCTCTCAGTTACCCTACTTGTACCAAGCTGGCAGACTAACAAGTACTCAGAAACTTATTAAGTTGGAGCCGACGCTAAATAAATAGCAAGCTCACTTACTCCCGCAATGTTCCTAGTCCGAGATACATTTCATGAGTCCAGTGTTAATTGAAATAGAATTAATGTGACCTCTTTACTAAGTACTAGAACACTTACACGTACCGTGTTATAAAACTTGGTGCCTCATTTCTTTATTGAATTTTATACTGACCATTACTAACTAAGGTCACTTAAATTTGGAATTCCACAGGTACTGTTTTAGGTCCAATTTTGTTTATATTATGAACGCTAGTAAAAATGTCTTTGACAGTTTAGAGATTATAAGCAATCAGAGTTTATTTTATATAGTATAAGCCGGTAAACGAGGTGAAGAATCACCTGATAGTAAGCAATCGGCGTCGCCCATGGACACCTGGATCACTAGAGGCATTGCCAAGTGCGTTACCGGCCTTTGGGATTAGAAATTTGACGATTGTTGTGGATTCAGGGATTGGGGAATGATAGGAGGGAATTGGACCTCCACAGCAAGCATAGACAAGCACGAGCCAACCCATCGTACCGAAGCATGGCTCTCCCACACTTATTTATATTTTACAAACCAATTTACAGTATTAGGAAACGAGTCGATTAGTTCTGATACAAAAATAAAAAGATCTTGTAAGTACTATAATCAAATGTGTATCACAACGTTATTATACCATTAATATGTTTATATAAGAATATATCGACGAGCTTCCGAATTCCGCCTTTGTTTTATGAGCCTACGAATATTACTGACATGCCTTCACGTATATTATAAGGAATGTCATATCTCTCAAATTCTTGGTAACAACCTTTAATAAATAAAAATAATAGTTTCTCTCTAGAATTTCATCCCTTTTTCAACCCTCCAAGTTTGTTTCAACCCGTCAACTATACAGGCTGCGCACCTCAGGTATGACCTCAGCCTAGTCCCTGAATATTCATATGAAGGCTAAACAAATTCGGAATATTAATGCAACGGCCACTCTCGGATACGGCATCATTAGCATGACTGTCAAATATTCGCTTTGGTTATACAGTTTGAATTCCTGGACAAGTTATATTTGATGAATTGTAACTGTGACCTGTTAATAGGTTATAATTTGTAAGTATAATATATTAAAGATAAAATTGTTTCTTTGCAAGAGAAAGCATACATAAAATAATTTGTATGTAGGCTCGGTTTTACACTAACGTGTTAGCCAAAAATTTGCATACTAATCTACTGATACATAAATGGCCTCAGACATTCGAATTTATTATTATTTTACAACAATTCAATGAAGGAAGACGTTACGGGACATGGACAATATTACATTTAAAATCAATGGATTAAATTATTCAGGTAAGTTTTTTTTTTATGGCATAATCCGGTGAACGAGCCTACGGATCACCTGATGGTAAGCAATCGGCGTCGCCCATGGACCCGGTTGGTTGGTGGTGGTTGCTGGCTTTTTGGGGATTCGGAGTTTGAGGATCGTTGGGGATTCAGGGATTGGGGAGATTGGGGAAGAGGAGGGTAATTGGGCCTCCGGTAACCTCACTCACACGACGAAACATAACGCAAGCGTTGCTTCACGTCGGTTTTCTGTGAGGCCATGGTATCACTCTGGTCGAGCCGGCCCATTCGTGCCGAAGCATGGCTCTCCCACACTTGATGATTGGTAAGTACCTAAACACTATTTTAGTCCCGAAATAATTGCCTATACATATTATAGAGATGGAGAGTCTAGATTCTCATAGTCAGAATCAATTTATTTCTATTAAACTGTCAAACACCAAGCGGTCACCGGTGACCGCAACCTTTTGTTCTATAATTGTGTCTACATAACCGGTACTCGACGAGTTAAACCATAATTTGGTAGTTTTGAAACGTTAAAAAATACAAAATCAATCATTGTCTGTCAGTCTGTGAAGGTATATTGATGCTCATTCCAAAATGTAGATTCGAATGGAGAAGAACGAGTAACTCCGTTACTCATTTAAGTAGCTTATGCACTTTCTTGGCTAATAATTACTAGTGGGATGCGAGGTGAGCTCGGACGTGACGCTGCTGGACTACCTGCGGCTGTACGCAGGACTGCGCGGCACCAAGTACATGTGTCGCGAGGGTGGATGTGGAGCATGCATCGTCAGCGTACACCAACCTGCTGGAACACCCTACGCTGTCAACTCGGTATGTTAAACCAGATGCCCAAGAAGTCAGTGAAAAATTTATATCTACTATGTTATATGATATTATATGATATCTACTATTCTCCTTTCTGTCTGTCATATCATTCTAGAGGTAGTTCTTAATTGTCTGTCTAATGTTTCAATCTATCAAAGTAAATAATAAAATAAAAACTGCGTTTAAAAAACGCATCTCAGAGTTATGCGCGTACATACATACAAAAAAAAGCAACATACCGGCCGAACGTATAACCTCCTCCTTTTTTGAAGTCGGTTAAAAAACGGATCAGATTTATTTAAATAAAAACTGATTCATTAATAGTGCCTGATGTCAATAACATCATGCCATGGACTGGAGATCACCACCATTGAGGGTTTGGGAAACAGACTCAAAGGTTACCATGAGCTACAGAAGAAATTGGCAGACGAAAATGGTACTCAGTGCGGATATTGTAGTCCAGGATGGGTAATGTCGATGTACAGGTTGGTAACAAACATAAAAAAAAGTATTTGAGATATCTTATAAGAAGCTTACCTCAAATCCCATTGTGACTTCATAAGAAACTACTGTCATAAACTTAAATACATTATTTGCAGTCTTCTTCAAGGAAAGCCTAACATATCAACGCTTGACATTGAGAAATCTTTAGGCAGCAATATCTGTCGTTGTACCGGCTATCGGCCGATACTACAAGCCTTCAAAACATTCGCCGCAGATGCTCCGAGACAGATCCACCTCCAAGATATAGAAGATCTCAAAATTTGTAATAAAACTGGAGAAACATGCAATAGAAGTAATTGTGAAGATAGTGAATGGTGCTTTGTAGATCTTCCAGCACACAAAGATGATATTATTAAAATCAAATTGAAAGATGAAAAAATTTGGTATCGAGTACAACAAGTAAAAGATGTATTTTCAATATTAGAAAAAGAAGGCGATGACTCTTATATGCTTGTGTGTGGGAATACTGCAAGAGGTTGGTGTTATTATTATTCTAATGATATTTATTTATTTATTTATTTAAATAGGTATACCGATAGCTTCTGTATATATAGCATTAAGTGATATGAAAGTAACAATAAGTATTTAGGCTTATACAGTCGCCAATTATAGGTTAACCAACATTTAATTACTTAAGCGATAATAAAAACTATAGACACAAAAATTAACGAGAACAATAAAATTTTAGTTACTAAAAAAGAAAATACTACTAACGAAATTAACATTCTTATTTTAGGGAACATAAAATTAAAGACTTTTAAAGAACTTGAAAAACCTTGGTTATAACAAAATTAAACATTTAAAATAGAAAAAAAAGCATGTTTCGTAAAAATTTAAATGTTAATAAATATATTAAGCTAAGGATATGAACATTTTGTAAAAATGTATATAAAGAAATGAATTTAGAAAAATGAGATATGGACACTTACTACTAATACGTAGGTACTCATCTAATATTTTTCATACATATAGTTACATAGTAAACTAAGTTGTGCGGTTTGGGCATAGTATAAATAATACATAACATTTTTGTATTGATTTTTATTGTATTAATTTTTGAAATTTTTGTCTGTTTGCCTGTACGTTTGTTCGGGCTAATCTCAAAAAACGGCTTAACCTAATTGAATCCGATTTATCACTATTGCGTTGCGTTTAGCCCTCCCAGGCAGTTTTCCTTCGTGCAGGTTCTATTTCTGATGTTTAAAGTGCTTGGTTGCCGATGCAGTCAAAAACAAAGAAAGTAGTCTGTTAATAGTGGTCTTTTAAATATTTCAATTATTAACCTCTTGTCTGCTGGCATATGAGACACAATAGATAACACATTGTGTCTCGCGTATATCTACGTTCCCGGCATACCAAGGGTTAAGGTATTTTATGGCAGTGTTTTGGATAGTTTAGGCTTTAGTTTCTTTTGTTGTGATTTTTTCTTCGTGTTAGTACCTACCTTACGGCCTACAGGCCCTACGGCTGCGTAGTCGGAATTTGACTTACGTACGTAAGGTATAATCATAGTTGAACGTTCATTTCATTAATAACATTTTCTTAGTAAAATAATTAAGCAGTAAGAATAGTACGATTTTAATTTAGTTTTAATACACTTCTGGATACATCTATTGGCCCACCTTGTATTTTCAGTTTTGTTTGGTCCGAGCTAAAATTTTATATTAGGTCGAGCAAAAAGTTTTTATGCAGTTTTGAACCTGGCAAATTCACAATTTCATTCAATAGTCTTTTTTTGAATTTCGAACACAGAATTTAAATCAAATCAAATTAAATTACAATCGAATCAATTAAAGAAACAAAAGACAATTTGGAGCCTGTTTGTTGATGTCAAACAATCGAATACTAAGAAAACTTGGTTTTATTGGTTTACTTGGATTTAATTCTTGAAAAAGTGATTGATATCTTTGGTTTTGCAACAAACGTTACTTATTCTTAATATTAAGGTGAGGATCTATTAATAATCTATGGATATTTCACCTGAAGTCGCCGCCCAAGCTGTGGCACTTATTCAGACCGGACACAGCCAAAGAAACGTGAGTGCTCAACTTAATTTAAATTAATGTGGGACGAGCTAAAAAGAGTTAGGGCTCGTCAGCCAGTTGCCCAGATGATGCCAGACGATGCAGGAGTTGAAAACTGCCATAGAAGAGGAATGGGAGATGATCCCTCAAAATTTCATAGAACGGTTGATAAACTCTATGCCTAATCGTATGAGAGCTGTGGTAAATGCCCATGGAGGCAACACGCGTTGTTAAATGAAACCTTTATTATGTTTTTTATATCAATTGCCTATAACAAGGCGCATATCCGATTTGTTAGGCATAGCTCCATGTCGTATGGTATTCTGAATTCAAAATTAAAACAATACGATCGAAAAAGATGGTAAAATGTATCAGGTTTAAAACTGCATCAACAGTTTTTGTTCAATCTAGCAATCATATTTCGGTAGGGGCCATCGAAACCTAAACTCTAAGGTGGGCCAATAGATATGTCCAGAATTAGTTAATTAAAAAAATAAAATTAGTAAGAATGCCTCGAAAAAAATAATAATCTCAGCCAATGTAGCAGAGATGCCAAAAGGATGAGATTAATTCGAACACAGGAATCTGAACAGGATCATGAAGCAAGACTTTTTTTTTAAGGGGGGAAAATCATCGAATGACTGCTACCGCCTGGGTGAGGCGGAAGGGAGTGTCAGACTCTTACTGACTAAAAACCACCCCGTTCCTTCTCCTGCACGTCGAGCCGGAGCCCCGGTTACCCGTTAGGTTCTCCGCGACTCCGAATCGGCATCGGCCGTATTGGGCCCCATCTGTGGTGGTCTGATGGTTCTTTGAGGCGCGCGCGGAACGCGACGCGCCTATGCAGCAAGACTAGCATCTCTGGAGCGTCAGGCCAGCATTCGCACGTCAGTTTATGTAGCTTTGTCGTGCGTGAGCGATCTCAGAAACTTTTATGCTTTGATTCCAGAAGGCAATACAACTAATTTTGTGTACAGAGATTGTAATTTTATTGTAGCATTGTTATTGTAATTTTAATTCTTGTTAATATCCACTTCCATACCCAAAAAGTCGCAGGCACAGCTAATTTCATATTTCATGTACAGATTTGACCTCTCTATAGATTTATTATCTGTAGTAGAAGAAAATTGCAAGGAACTTACGTTTTGTGGCGCGCTGGAAATATTTAATTAAGACTTTGACTGCCAATAAAAAACTGTTGAAGGTAAATCCTCCGCTAACGCCGGTCACCGGTGACCCCCATGGCGTTTAACGTGTTAATCGGTTTTTGAGTTGTTTTAATGTGCTGCTGTAAGCTTTCCTCTAAATTCTGTGTTTATTTTATTTCGTTCCAATGCTTTAAATGCGATGTAACTATGTCTGTCTGTCTGTCTCTCCTTCACGCTTAAACTACCGAACCGATTTGGATGAAATTTGGAACAGACACTGTTAGAAACTCGAGAAAGGACATGGAATAGCTTGCGAGAACTTCCTGAAAATCCCACAAGATAAAAAACTATGTGGGTAAAACAAAAAATCTCCATGAAGTCAATATTCTACGCGAACGAAGTCTCGGACAGAAGCTAGTATTTATTATATTTTGTATTTTATAACCTACACAGCAATTATGTTGCAGGAGTGTATTATCCTACAGCCGAGTCTAATGTCCTAATAGACATAAGTGGAGTCCAAGAGTTGAAAGGCTACACGTTGGACCAGAACCTTATAGTGAACGCTGGGACCACACTCACGGAGTTCTTGCAGATACTGAAGACTGTAGCTAAAGAAGAATACTTTGGATATCTGCAAAAGATTCACGATCATGTTGAGAAAGTTGCACATGTTGCTGTGAGAAATGTACACAAAGCACCGCTAATTAGTTCGAGGCGCTACACATCGACATTACTATCATTTACACAGTGAACATGTGTGGGTAATTTCATATTAATAGATATGTATAGAAACATTCGTTCTATCACACACATCTTGGTATTACATATCATTTTTGTGTCGGTATACGTAATATTTTAGTAAATAAGTTTAAATAAAAACGAGGGTAAAGATAAAAATACTCATAACAAACTTTGAATAAATCGAAATCAAAAATAATGAACGATCGAGCAATACAATACTTATATAAATATAGTGCATTCTCATTGTATTTTTATGTTACTGAATGATATACAATATTTCGATGTTCTCATCTACGGCGCGCTTGGCGCAATGGTTATCGCCTCCAGTGGTCAAGTAAAGTGCCACCGGATCGATTCCAGCATTCACATGTTGTTTTAGTATTAATTAATCAAATATTTGAAATGTGAAATTAGAAACAATTAAATCTTTTCTTTTTTTCCTATCCTATTTTTCTAAATCTTATGTTAATTTTAATAGTAAATACTTTAGATTTATTTATACCTATAATATCCTTTATTTATATTTTAGTTCTAGTTATTTATTATTTAGAATAATTTAGAATGATTGGAAGAACTTTAAAGTTAACATGTGGTATATAATTAATTATTAGATATAAATATTGAATATAAAACCACATATTTGTATAATTAATAAATTAATTTTAATAAAAAATAGTATTGTTTTATTTACCGACTGATTTGCTTCTTTTATAGCCTGATATTTATATTATATGACAAAAAACAAAAAAAAAATAAATAAGAAAAACAACAAGGTAAAATAAAAAAAAACTTTTAGCTGGAATAGAACCCACATCATCATTGATCCTTGAAAGACGATAAAAGCGTACTCATTAACCAATCGACCACGAGCACTACGATAATTCCAGTGAAAATGTCGGGTCATATCAATGATTGTAAATAGTTTTAACCTTACCCATGCATTAAATTATAAAAATACGTATACCGACACAAGAATGAAAATACCAATGTGAACGTGGTGGACGAATATTTTTATACACAGTAATATGAAATTACCCACACATGTACATTGTGTAAATGACAGTAGTGTCGATGTGAGCGTTACGAACTAATTAGCGGTGCTTTGTGTACGTTTAACGGTGATCTATTAATTTATTGAACTTATGTTTCAGAATCACTACGAGAATGAACCCTTATTTATTTTCAGGTGGCAACAATTGCTGGAAACCTAATGATCCAGTACCAACATCACTGGTTCCCGTCGGATATTTTTTTGCTTTTAGAAACCATCGGGGCTCAAGTTACTATACGTAAGCATGATATAGGATATTTAGAATATTTTTAATGCGAAGATGGTCTTTAACTTAATTGGGGTAAAACATCTCCCTATTACTATTTCAGAGACCTGTAATGAGAAAAATACGCTGACCATGCAAGAATTCCTCAAATTAAATATGAGAGGAAAAGTCATTAGGAACGTGATGTTGCCACCAATGTGTGGTGACTGTCACTTGTTCACATTCAAAGTAAATATCGTATTGTTTTAATATTTTAGTTTTGTTCTTCACATACAATCATTTAATTTTAAAACTTGTTCATACATTTTAGATAATGCCAAGATCTTTAAACAGTGTTGCAGTGATCAATGCAGGATATTTATATAAATTGAATTCAGATAATATCGTGAAATGCGCGAGGATAGTATACAGATGTTTATCTCCGTCATTCATTCGGGCTACTGCAACAGAACATTTCCTTATTGGGAAGAAGTTATTCAGTAATGAAACATTATCATCAGCATTGAGAATATTAGAAGAAGAACTGATTGTTGAAGACAATCCACCAGCTCCGTCAGTGGAATATAGAAAGAAGACTGCTTTAGCATTATTTTATAAGGTAACATGTTTCTGATTTAAAATGGAAATTGATGGAAAAGAACAATAAATATGATAAAAATAATGATAAAAATGATCAACAATTATTCAAATATTCCTATACTAACACAGATTTTCATTTCAGGGTCTTTTGAAACTCTCTCCAGGAAGTAATCTTCAAGCTCGCTATAAATCTGGAGCTATAAACTTACCTGATACACGTCCTGTATCTAGAGCCATTCAATTGTTTGACACCAATCCTGCTATGTGGCCCATAACAAAACCCATCCCAAAGACAGAGGCTTTGGTGAGTTCAATACTAATAAAATTAGGAGGAAATGTTACATTGTAATTCATTACATGATTTTTTTAGATCCAATGTGCGGGAGAGGCCTTTTATACAGAAGATATACCTACTCTTCCAAACGAAGTCTTCTGTGCCTTCGCACTAAGTACTGTTGCAATCGGAGATATTGAATCCATTGACGCCAGTGAAGCTTTGGTAAGAAACAGGGACGATGTGTGATATTTATATTTGAACAATATAATATATTATAGTTCCTATTATGTTTATAGGCACACCCAGGTGTCATTGCATTTTATACTGCAAAAGATATACCAGGAACGAATACATTTTTCATATCAATGTCTGAAAAATACAATGCTGTTAACGAAGAAGTAGTTGCAAGTACTTCAGTGAGTTATTTCAACCAGGCAATCGGTATTGTTGTAGCTGAGAGCCGTTCCATAGCCGAAAAAGCTGCTAAATTAGTTAAAGTTACTTATACTAACGTCAGAAAACCGATACTTGATATGGAACAAACAATTAATGACTCAAGTAGAACAAGTTTGTATACTACAATTGACGCAACTGAAACTGGAAAAGATGTAGTCCAAGTTATAAAGGGAAATAATGCAATGAACGGTCAGTATCACTTCACCATGGAAACTTTGACTTCTGTCGTAATACCCTCTGATGAAGGACTTAACGTATACTCCGCTACACAAAGTATAGAAACAGTACAAGTATTGATTTCTAAGGCTTTGAATATAGACCAAAATCGGTAAGTTCATAATAGACGTCTTTTTAAATTAGGTACACGTGTAAAAAAAAATTCTAAGTGTTACATAATTTCGTTTATTTTTACGTGTACATAATTTTGGCAGGATCGACGTACACGTTCGCCTTGTGGGAGGAGGATACGGTTTAAAACTATCTCGCGGGGTACAAGGAGCAGTAGCTGCTGCTTTGGTTGCGACAAAACTCAACAGACCTTGTCGAATTATTCAGTCATTGACGACTACCACTCGGACCCTTGGCAAGCGGACTCCCAGCTATTCAGATTTTGAGGTAAAATTATGTTGGTGTCTGTGGCTATTATGCAATAGATACTTGTAAATTATTTATTTTTTTTAATAGGCATTCTAATATTTATTTATTTATTTCAATTAAATAGTATTATGATTACAGTCATAAAACCAAGGCGTTATACATTTCAAATAATTATAAATGAAAAAAAAGAAAAAAACATAACAGAACAGTCCTTAAATAAAACAAACAATAAGAATAATAAAACCTATATATGTATAAGTGTTCTTTAAAATATTTATACCAACAGGCTGGTGTTAACAGTTCTGGAATAATACAGTACATAAAGTTCAGACTATTTGAAAATGTCGGATACTTGATTAAGGAGGTGTTGTTGAACCGTGACGGCATCGGTCAGTTCAATAATGCTTACAACAGATCCTGCTGGTCTTATAAGAATTTGAATACCATCACTGATGCACCAAGGAACATTGCGATGAGAGCACCAGGTAGGTAGGCATTTATTACAATTATTTCATTGTATACAGTTAATGTAGACTTATGATAAGAAATACTTATATTTCTACTTTCCGTTGTAATTTTTTGGGTGATTAAACCTATTTTACACTACAGGTACATTCGAACACGTGGCAATGGCGGAATTTGTCATCGAACAAATTGCGTACGAGATGAATTTGGATCCATTAGACGTGAGAATGTCCAATCTGGATACAAAATACAGAAATGACATGAAAGAAGTTGTGAATTATGTTATGGACAAATCTGACTATGCAACACGTCGGAAAATGGTAAACCAATTCAATGCAGAAAATAGATGGAAGAAGCGAGGACTGCGGTTTTCTTTTATGAGATGGACACCTATAGCAGGGGTTAATATGCCCGTGAATCTGTCGGTATACCGTGGAGATGGATCAGTAGCTATAACACACGGTGGTATAGAAATGGGACAAGGAGTTAATACAAAAGCTATGCAAGTAGCCGCATACATGTTGAATATCCCCATTGAAAAAATACAAATTAAGGAAAACAATACAGTCATAGGTCCAAACGCTTCAGGATCTGGAGGTAATGTAATAAGTCAAAATGTATTATTAGGAGTGAGAATAGCTTGTCAACAGCTTTTGGATAGATTGAAACCAATCAGAGACCAAATGGATAATCCTACGTGGGAAGAGTTGATTACAAAAGCTTACAATGATAACGTAGACCTACAAGCTCATGGTTACACAAGAACCGATGAGAAGTTTGCATATGACATTTACGGAGTTACTTTAGCAGAAGTTGAATTAGATGTGCTAACAGGAGAGTTTGAGCTATTGCGAGTAGATCTTTGTCAAGATGTTGGACAAAGTGTTAGTCCAGAAATCGATATTGGCCAAGTAAGTATTTGAAAATAGAAGAATAAGAATTTCATAGTTTTATACTACATATTAGTATTCATAACCTTAACTTTACCTTATTTAGGTGGAAGGAGCGTTTATGACGGGTATTGGTTTCTGGACTTGTGAGGATCTAGTCTATGCTCCGACAGGTGAACTCCTGACTGATCGTACGTGGAACTACCATGTACCACTGACCAGGGACATTCCTCAGGATTGGAGAGTCTATTTTAGGAAGAATTCTTACACTAACGATCTAATTTTTGGATCCAAAAGTAAGTGTGACTAATCTTATGAATCGCTAAATATAATTTTTATTCACCAACTCATTATTTAACGTAGAATTTATACGTAAAATAAATTATTTGATTCACTAGATATAGGTGAGCCTCCAATATGCATGGCAGTGGTGGTAGCCTTAGCTTTGAGAGAAGCAATCGTCGCAGCCAGGTTGGAGTCTGGTATTCCTTCTACAAAGTGGTTCCGAGAAGGTGTGTATTCAGTGATATTTGTACAGTACTAGATTAATCAAATAACGTTGTTGATTAATACTGTTTCTCTTACAGATGGACCCTACACAGTTGATAGAAACTTTTTGCTGTCATCCACTAACACAGCTGATTTTAAATTTAACTAATGTACAAGTACCAACCTATACAATTTTTTTTTTAAAAACGTTGCCCCACATTAGGATTTTCTCCTATGTCGTGGGTGCGTTTACAAACATACAAGTTCACATACACATGACACCCAGACCTGGAACAACAATTTGTGGATCACACAAAGTGTTGTTCCGTGCGGGAATCGAACCCGCGACACGTTGCACGGCAGCCGGTCGCCCAGCCACCGCACCAACCGTGCAGTCGAATTGTACAAGGATAATGAGGCAAGTGGCAGGGGTTACATTGCACAGAGTAGCTCAAGAACAACATGAATGGAATGGTTGGAGGAGGCCGTTGTCGACCGGTAAGCAGATCTCCAGAAAATCGGGAATAGGTAATCTAGATCTTAATAAAGTTAACAAGTTTAAATTATGTAACCGTTTTAAGTTGGATCTGAACGAAGGGCTATTTTTTTTTTGTTATCTTTTTTATTTATTTTTATTTATTTATTTATTTATTTATTTATTTAACAACTTTGGAAGACTAACAGCTAACAAAACAAAAATTAAGAAATTGTGTGAGAGTCTGACAGCCAATGACAAGTCTTCACATATAAAAAACAAACTAATACTATAAAAGAATGTGGTCGACACAGTACTCCCTACAAAATTATTATAATAATAAAAACAAACAAAAACAAAATAAAAAGAAACAAAGTACTAAATTACTAATATATACCTACTACTACACATCTGAATACTACACAGACAAATTACCTCGCAAAACATAAGTTCAATCGCGTTCCCTATTATGTTACTACATAAAAAAAGAAAGACTCAGGCACCTCCTGACCGTAGACACTTTAATATTAAAAAGGTCAAAATCATGCTGCTTGCACACGCTGTTAAATTCCTTAATTGCACGCACAAAATACGAGTTTTGCCTATAGTTGGTAGAGGAGGATGGAACACGTAGCGGTGGAAACCATCTCCTCGACCTTCCAGGAACATTGAGGAACAATCTCGCTAGAATATCGGAACTGTCAATATTATTTGTTAAGATTTTAATTAATAGATTTTAATTATACAATTAATAACAACAACAACGTGGAAACATTATTTCTGAAACTGAAATTGTGTATTAAAAATTAATAGCAAAAGACTTGCTCTATTTCAATGGCTATTAAGTAGAGAGTACTTATACCTACACCTCTCCAGACGTTGTTGTGGACATTTTGAAATATTTCTTGCAGCAAAGACATTGTGTGCACTGCCTGGTCGCCACGAGTAAATAGTTGTGGCGTCTGCTGCACGACAGATATTCCAGTAATGTTACTGTGATCTTATTTATATAACGTTATACTATACCGGTTATACCGTAGTGACTGTTGAACTATTTCATACTAAAATTATATCTTTAGTATGACATAGTTATTAACCTGAAATTGTACTCTGTAACGGATTTTTTTAGACGTATTGTAATCAACTCAAACACCTAACAGTCGGCCAACTAGAGACACTTGAACAAATGTACTATGTAATGTATGTAATTAAACATCAGGGACAATTTTTCAATGCTCAGATAAATTTTAACTGAGGAATAAATTTTAACCTCAGTAGCCAAAGAAAAATAAAAACACTTTCAATATTTGACAATTCTCCCATACTAAAAATGTCAATCAACTGTCAATTGTTGATTGAAAAATGGGGCGTAATTAATTAAGAAAACATGCATATTATTGGAACAGCTATAAATGAGTGGGTAAGCACGTTTTAACTAATTCAATTCATGAATAATAATTTGTCAACTGAATCTTATCATCACAAGTGAGCTCAACAGCAGGAAGAGCACAAGTCAGCATTTGAATAAATGTTGCCATCTAACTTTATATTTCCTTTAAGTATTGCCAGCTCAAAGTTATTTCATAAATGAAATAAATACGGGTCGGATCTCGAAGTTGGTCCGCAACAAAAATGTCGGATGAAGTTTCTTAGTTCCTATAAAAGATTGACCTTTGTGATACGTTGTACAATATGGTGCGAGGAGGAAGTTCTAGTTACTTTCTGTATTGTTGATCTGTGCCGGAGTTGGGTATTTAGATGAGTGACCGTTCTGAACACACTGTCTTGTTTGAATTTGATTTAAAGAGTTCATCTCGCTTCTAGATCTATTTACCAATACTACCTAGGATAGATATACCACTGAGATATGAATGATAGGTAGAATACTACTATGTATTAAAAATTGACATGTATTACCACTTGTCTATAAAAAATTATAGAACCGAGTAGATCTAGAAGTACCTACTTGCAATATTGTGTAAACAGTAACCATGCCACTCACAGAATATCCTAGAATACAATTATAAGCTCTGTAAAAGAATGTCCTGCATAAAATATAATTAAAGTTATCTTAATTTTTCCACGAGCCGTACTCTAAACTCATTACGTAACATATTTTCTCTTCATTATTTCGTGCGTTGGGCGACATTTTTCCACCACGCCCCAGACGTGAATAAAATTCATATTAATTATAACAGTTAATTGAGTTCATAGTTTGTTTGCACAGACTAATTAACTGGCGTGATGGACAATTTGGTATTTATTTTAATAATACAGTATTACTTAATGTTGTTGCTTTTTGAACTGGAATGTATTTTAGCGAGAGTATTGTGTTAGTTTGCGGGTTTGTATTTTATCCCTTACTAGCTACTTTCGCGCGGTTTCACACGCTCTGCTCAGTTCCTTTTGGTCGTAGCGTGATGTTTTATAGCCTTTAGCTATCTATCTATCTATACATATAATAAAATTGTAGAAAAGTGCTGTCTGTACATTGAAAATAAAAATAAAAAAAATAGCAGGGGCTATTGTTATGTCGATGTTGAACCCAAAAATGTAACTAACTTTTTTTTTGTCTGTTTGTCTGTTTGTCTGTTCACGCTAATCTCAGAAATGGCTTATAAATATATATATTTAACAGGGTGCGGAAAAGGTGATAGTGGTTCTATTCCTCAGATTCCTCTCATTCCAAAAAAAATTCCGTTTAATTTTAAACGAATTCAGTTTCCAGTGAGCCTATGTTTCGCCATGACAATTAGTAAAGCTCAAGGTCAGACTCTAAAAGTTGTGGGTATAGGTTTAAGTATCAGCTGTTTTTTGCACGGTCAATTGTATGTGGCTCTGTCCCGTGTTAGCAATCCCAGCAGCCTGTATGCTTTCACCCCCGATGGCCATACGTCTAATATTGTATATAGAGAAGCATTACAGTAAAGTAGGTTTTTTAGCTACCCAAAATGACTGTGATTATGATCCAAATCTAAAATAAAAATAAGTATATATTTAAAAAAAAAACGCTGCTCATAGTCACTATTCTACGCGAACGAAGTCGCGGGCACAGCTAGT